GATGCTTGCTGCCCCGTTGCCATCCGAACCCGCCAACTCACGGCGGCGGAAATCCTCTTAAATGATAGCTCGCTTCACGCCTTTGAGTGAGAGGAGGGGCAGATCGCGATTCAGGTTGATGCTGAGCGAGGACCATGACTCAGGGAGTAGGGCCAGCAACTTGGTCTTCTTTTGGAGCTCACTGTAGTTCAAATCAGCTCCCTCAAGTCGCATCAAGAAGTCGAAGAATTTCTGCACCCCTTCTTCCACAGGTTTATCTTCTTCGATTCGTAGTGTCGCCATTTGCCGTTCCAACACCACTGCTACCGCCGCTGTTGCAGGAGCGTGTACACCCTTGAGAGCAGCCCATTCCTTTGGTCCCTTCTCTGGTTCACGCTGGAATGGCTTGATGTGACGGATTTGGCTTCTCCCCAACGATTGCCCAAGTAGGAGATAGCCTTGTGCGCTCTTCCGCACCTACGGGCTCTTCTCCGGGTCGTTCTTGGGGCGCTTCTCCGTTCCTTCCATCACCTCCAGCAGATCATAATGGTCAAATATATTCTCCATCTTGAAGGACCACTCAGCGAAGTTGTCACCGTTGAACTTGTCAAGGCCAAACACTCTAGACTCATCCCTAGATGGGCCAAGACTTGGTTGCACGGGATCACGGGGTTGGCCTTGTGCTTCGGCTTCACCATTGCCTCCAGCACCTCTGCCACCCCTTTCCTGAGGTCCAGCCATCGTCGAAGCTGCTCCAAGGGCGCTCCGTTACCACTTGTTATAATCACAATAGGCTTCAATGTGCCTAAAACGAAGGATAGATTGCACAGTCAGATTTCTGCACAGCGTTTTTAAACGTTCATAGCGTTCTGGTCACAACTTCAAATGACCTAATCCAAATTGGATCTGGAGCGTCTTAATGTTGCCTACAATGGGCAATTTAAGTCGTACAATTTGATTAAGAATTAACGACATAACGTTGGTTTGAACGAACGGCAATATGGCAGCCATTATAGTCTCGGAACACAAATTGGGAAGAGTTGCTAGGTGGGAATGACTCCCAGCTCCTACAAACCCCAAGAGCCGAGGTACAGTGATGTGGAACAGTGCAACACTATTCCCAACCACGAAGGGTCTCGAAACTACCCTTCACAAGGGCCTACACCAAGTGAATTGTAACACTACACAAAGTAATGTAACTAATCTCAATATCTTGTACCCCTTTCGCGGGCTTCGCGATCACTTGAATCTTGAGACCAAGGCTCTGGTTCTTCATCACAAACTCATCCTTGAGTTCTTGATGGGTCTGCTGCACACACTTTCGACATGCCGAACGTTCCACACACGACAAAATAGAAACCGCGCACGAGACACAAACGGTCGCGTGACACGCGACTAGTGATGACTTGCACTGTGTCTCCACGTCTGCGCAAGGTGGTGAAAGGACAAGACGGAAGAGCGGATTAGTAACAAGATAAACTTACAGAGTTAAACGCAATCAAAACAACATGAACACCAAACGTGGAACTTCCGTTGCTGGGTTTTCTGCGCCACCTTGGTTTTCATGTGCAAACGCTAAGATTCCAGCACTTGCGGAAGCGCTCCGACCATCGCTGACTCCCTTTCCACTTTACTTCCGGGAAGAGGACTTTCATCACCTCGCGCGACCACTTTTGAAGACGGCCCACCAAAACAGCAACACCACGGCGCCGCAAGTCGAGGAGCTGCGCGTAGACCTTAATCTCCATCGGACGGTACTAGGAAGCTCTACCGCGTCAATGCAGTCGCTTCCGTGCGCTCTGGGCGTCCTTCAGCTGGTCCGCCTGCTGTTTCCACTAGGTCAGGCACTTGCGGTGGATGCCGGACTCCCGCGACACCTCGCTAATCGATGCTGCTGTCAGAATGTTATTACCTAGCCTGTAGTGGGGTGCTCTATAGCGAGTACAACCCTGTTAGGATTTGCTATATGTATCCCAACTACTGCTAGTGAAAACCCCTCCTTTCTTCATTCCTCGTTCTTTAAAATGCTATCAGAGCAGGTCGACCCTCCTGGGTCGTTCCTGTGTATGGGCCCACCACCTCACTGCTTCCGCTGCCACTGCTACTCTGTGTGTTGCACACCCCGTGGCGTGCGACGGATTTTTCTTCCCGCCGCGCGCTCGGAGCGTGCGGCGGTTTTCTGCCCGCCGTGCGCCCCGAGGCGCGCGGCGGTTTTAAGCCCGCCGTGCGCCCCGGGGCGTGCGGCGGTTCTCTGCCCGCCATGCGCCCCGAGGCGCGCGGCGGCTTTCTGCCCCGTCTGTCCGCGCGTCGCCCCCGGGGGGCGCTTCGACGGGCGACGGGGACCAGCCCATCGTCCCCGGTCGCCCGTCCCGGCCAGCGCGGGCTGCGCTAGCCCCGAGCGCGGCCCGTACGGGCTGCGCCCGGCCCGCGCGCGGCCCGTACGGGCTGCGCCAGGCCCGCGCGCGGCCCGTACGGGCTGCGCCAGGCCCGCGCGCGGCCCGTACGGGCTGCGTCAGGCCCGCGCGCGGCTCGGGCCGCCTGCGCGCGGTTCGTCTGGCTGTGCCAGGCCCGTGGGCGGCCCGTTCTTCTCTGCCCCTGAGCTGCCCGCTGTCCCCCGTGCTTCTGACGGCGCCCCACCCCTGCTGCTGCCCGTTCTCCTGAATTAGGGTTTGGGGGTGGGGGGTATGGGGGTGCAGTTTCTGTGCGCCGTCCCCTGCTCCTCCTCCTCCTCCGTCTCCCAGTGCTGCAGCTGCAGCTGAGGGGGGTGGATGTGTTGTGTTGGAGCCGTCGGAGTGGGACAAGGGGGTGACATGGGAGTGGAGTTAGGGGTGAAGCAGTTAGGGTGTGTGTCAAGGGTGTGGGTCAGTTGGAGGAGGTTGTGTGGAGGTAGCTGTCGTGTCGCCTGCAGCGCCTGTAGTCCGTCGCCCTTGCTTCGGTAGCCAGTGAGCCTGTTGCACCAGTCGCCAGTGGGTCCGTTGCTCCTGCCGCTCGTCTTAGCCGCGGAGCCAGTCACTCCAGTAGTCCGTCGCCCTTGCTTCGGTAGCCACTGAGTCAGCCGCTCCTGTGCCCGTGCCTCTGCAGCTTCAGTCGTTGCCTCCCATCTTCTCTCCTTCCACAGTTCCTCCTCCTCCTCACTTGCCCGTTGTGATTACCTCTAGCTTTGCTTATTATTGTGAACTCCTGCTCATTGTGCTGATTACACCCCACTTTGGCTATGGGGGTGTGTCAGAATATTATTATCTAGCCTGTAGTGGGGTGCTCTATAGCGAGTACAACCCTGTTAGGGTTTGCTATATGTATCCCAACTACTGCTAGTGAAAACCCCTCCTTTCTTCATTCCTCGTTCTTTAACAGCTGCAACCTCCAAGCGCACGAGCCACTTTAGCTTCTCCTGGGCGGTGTAGGCATGCCGCTTATGTTGTGTCAGTTTATGCCTCTTGGGGGGGGTGGGGGGGCATCTCGGTTCTCAACAGAGGAGTGGGAACGTTTTCTGTTAATTGGAGGATATGTAGGAATCGGCATCTTGTCGCGCGGGGCATCGCGCCACCAAGTCTCAACGCCGTCGTCGTACGCAGTGCTGGCACCGCCCTCTGGGAACACATCTTCCTCTGTGCCAGCCCCGCCGCCCGTTTCACCGTCGCCACCCGGTTCGCAGTCGCCGCATGGCTGCTCGTCGGCGGGTACATCGTTGTCGGCGCCCACAGTCGACTCGTTCCACGCGCAGTCTTCGGGGTGTCCCCACCGTGGTGCTGGCGGCGAAGCTTCGACATACACATCGGCGGGCTTGTCGGACTCCGGTTCAGACAGGAACTCGTCGAATGTCGCTGGCAGCAAGAGCTAGAGCACGGGCCTCTTGCCCGAGCAAGGAGTACTGGTACTCGTAACAGGAGCAGGCGGATTCGGAGGAGCAGGAGGGGCGGGAGGAGCAGGAGGAGCAGGTGGAGCAGGAGGAGCAGGGGGTGCAGGTGGCACTGGAGGCATGGGTGGGTAAGGAGGAACAGGAGGCTCACGGGTATACCACCCGTCGTCGTTTAATCGCCACGCGCGTGTCAGTTTCTTCTTAAAAAAGAAGTGGGTCCTCGTGAATTCCTTACAATATAGCTCAGCCAACAAGCAAGTCCGCCCGGCTGAGCTCGCTGCCCGCGGGCAAAAAAAATAAACCCCAGTCAGGCATGCATCCGGTCAGGGAGGCATCAACCCTAAACACAGGGAGGCATGGATTTAGGGTTGATGCCTCCCTCGGATGGCATGCCATCCGATGGGGTTATAGTTTTTTTTCTGCCCGTCGGTCAGGTCGACGGTGGTCGACGATGGTCGACAGACTCATTTATAAGCGCACCCCCCTAAAAATCAATGTTTTATTATAAGCGCACTTGCGTTTATCTCCAGGGTAATACGGTATATGGAAATATGAAATACATTATACATACTTTTACAGATATATATAGCACTCTGTGACTGTACAAGAGTCTGCACTCACCTAATGACCACACTGTGAACTTCCACATTTGGGAAAGCCCTGTCAATCTCACTGGAGCACAAGTAAATTCCTTTCCTATAAACCCTTTTAGTTTACTCTCTTGCCTTTAGTGGACCCAGCTATCCTCTCTGCTCCCCACCCGCTCGTCGTCCCACCCGCTGCTCGTCGTCACCCCCTTTGCTCGTCACCCCCTTTGCTCGTCACCCCCTTTGCTCGTCACCCCCTTTGCTCGTCACCCCCTTTGCTCGTCACCCCCTTTGCTCGTCACCCACTTTGCTTGTCACCCCCTTTGCTCGTCACTCCCTCAGCTCGTCACTCCCTCCATACAAACTGCATGTGCTGCTCTAGGCAGAACAAGGATCGTCCAGAGAAGTCATGCGTCCAACCAAGCAGCCCATGCCTTGAAGCCCAGGGGAGGGAGACTCTATTGTGCGATCTTTGCCTTTCCCTTTTCACGACGAGATGGATTTCGAGTAAACCCTTTCCATTGTGCACTCATTGTGCACTGATTTCTCTTCTATTCCTGCCTTTACTCGTGCTCCTACCCCTCTTTCGGCCCGGCACTGCAGATATAGTCATCGCTGCACCTCGCAGTGCGGAACCCGTGTCTCAGCCGCACAATGTCATTCGTGAAGGTGGAGTGGGCTGTGCCCAGAAAGCCAGCACCCAGCGCACACATCAGCTTCTCCAGCGTGGCGACTGCTTGCGGGGTGGTCTTGATATTGATGCCCTGGTGGAGGGAGCAAGGCAACATGATGTTGAATAGAGGGGGGAGATAGCTCTTGGTGAACGAGGAGTGGGCTGTGCCCAGAAAGCCAGCAGGCAGCGCACACACCAGCTTCTCGAGAGTGGTGTCGGCTTGCGGGGCAGTCTTGATATTGATGCCCTGTTTGGGGGGAAGGAGGAGGGGAAGGTGGTTGAAGGGGGAAGAAAGACCTGAATGATGACGGAAGCACAGCAGCGGCCAGTATGCCTGCTGCCGAGGTCGTGAATCGAATAGAAGAAAGACCACAAACAGCCTTGGGAGGCGTTCCAACAGACTCAAAAGTCACAATGGCACCTAACTCGTGCTCTATTGGACCGGCCCTAACCATCACTCGCCAACTTTCACCAGCCTCCACTATCCATCACCACCCTTCACCACCCCTCACCAACCTTCACCATCCTTCACCAGCGTTTGCCAGCTTTGACCGTGTATAACTGTTCAAGTTGAGCGTCTTTTGAAAATTGTCAAACCAATCAACCTTTAAACCTGCACAGCGTAAAACTGCTGCCAACTCACATTTTCCATAAGCGGTTGAAGCCACATGCTGCTGTCCTCTTTAGAGAGCAGATGCGCTAGCGTTACAAGCTGCACTGCACTGCTGCTGCCATCTACAGCGTCAGGACCGCTGCTGGTGTTGGCAGGCTGCTCATCATGCAGTGAAGCCTCAAATCCGCTTGAAACACCAGGCAGCAAGCGCCGGGCGATCGCGGGCATCAATCGCTGAGGTCGTGGATCCAACAGCTGAGAATCGGGCCCAGTCGGCTGTGCAACCCCCTGCAGTAAGTGCGGTGCTTCGGCTGGCAGTGGCATCTCCTCTTGCTGACCTCGGCTCTCATGCTCATCTGCAAGTCGACTCAACAGTCTTCTCTCAAGTGCCTTTCTAGATGGCTGTTCCTGCTCCACTGCAGCAGCCGCTGTAGCAGCAGCAGCAGCAGCCACAGCAGCAGCAGTATCAGCCGCAGCAGCCGTAGCTGCGACCTCCAGTGACTTTTCTTGAGGCGCCTCAAGGAGCGTAGCTGCAATGGCTGCTACCTCGTGCGGCCGCGCGTTGGTGGCGAGGAAGACGAGGGGGACACGTGCTGTCAGGGCTGCAGCACGCATGCACTGTGCTGCCTGGTCCACTGGGAGGAAACAGCCGTCCGATTGTTGCTGGTGGGAGGGATGGGAGGGAGAGAGAGGGCGTTGGTGGCGAAGAAGACGAGGGGTACACGCGCAGCCAGGGCTGCAGCACGCATGCACTGTGCTGCCTGGTCCACTGGGAGGAAACAGCCGTCCGATGCTGGTGAAAGTGGTGGGAGAGAGAGCAATAGGGGTGGGAGAGAGTGAGAGGGTGGGATAGCGGGTGAGAGAAGGGAGAAAGAGCAGAGACAGGGACGTGATGGTGGAGGGATGGAGGGGACGTGATGGTGGAGGGATGGAGGGGACGTGATTGCTGGAGGGATGGAGGGGACGTGATGGTGGAGGGATGGAGGGGACGTGATTGGTGGAGGGATGGAGGGGACGTGATTGGTGGAGGGATGGAGGGGACGTGATTGGTGGAGGGATGGAGGGGACGTGATGGTGGGAGAGAGAGAGAGGATGCGAGGGATCGGAGAGAGGGTGAGTGGAGAAAAGGGATGGGTGAGAGAGAGAAAGGGTGCGAGGGAACGGAAAGAGAGGGAGTGGGGAAAAGGGGTGGGGGGGAGAGAGTGAAAGGAGGGGGAGATAGAGCAGAGTAAGGGGCGTGATGGTGGAAGAAGGGGATGTGCTCCATGCATGCGTACTGCTGCTGTCCCCTGACTAGGAACGCCTATTCCTAGGACATGTACAGATGAAGGTACAACTTACGGAAAAAGGAAGGTACGACTTGTGTGACAAGAAGGTGGGCTGTGGAGGCCTCACTTCCATCAACTCAATAGGTATTCGTATTTAGGCTCTCCTGGGACGACTCATTCCATTTCCCCTCACCAGTTGTATCTTCTCTGTCACCGGATCGCATTTGACACAAGCCATTCTCTCATACAACGTGTACCAACACAAGCCATTCTCTCATACAACGTGTACCAACACAAGCCATTCTCTCATACAACGTGTACCGACACAAGCCATTCTCTCATACAACGTGTACCAACACAAGCCATTCTCTCATACTACGTGTACCAACACAAGCCATTCTCTCATACAACGTGTACCAACACAAGCCATTCTCTCATACTACGTGTACCAACACAAGCCATTCTTTCATACAACGTGTACCAACACAAGCCATTCTCTCATACAACGTGTACCAACACAAGACATTCTCTCATACAACGTGTACCAACACAAGCCATTCTCTCATACAACGTGTACCAACACAAGCCATTCTCTCATACAACGTGTACCAACACAAGCCATTCTCTCATACAACGTGTACCAACACAAGCCATTCTCTCATACAACGTGTACCAACACAAGCCATTCTCTCATACAACGTGTACCAACACAAGCCATTCTCTCATACAACGTGTACCAACACAAGCCATTCTCTCATACAACGTGTACCAACACAAGCCATTCTCTCATACAACGTGTACCTTCTTCCCACACCAACCGTCGTACCTTCCTTCTTCACACGACTCCGTACAGCCAAGTCGTACCTTCTTCTGGTTTGCAGTAGTCCTTAAAGTCTCCCCTCCCGAATTGCACATTGTTTCAAGACGACGTCTCAAGGCGCTTTTGATATCACGTTGCTATCACACGAGTCGTACCTTCTTCTGGCAGTAGTCCTTAAAGTCGCCCCTCCTGAATTGCACTGCCAGGAACTGGCCGTTGAGCAGATTGAGCTGCACTATGTGCCGCGCTGCTGCTATCAGTGGCTCAGGCGGCTGGGGAAGCGGGGGTGGTGAAGAGGAAGAAGAGTTTTGAGACAACTCAAAGCAAACAAACATGAAAAGAGGAAGGAGAGGAGGAAGCAGCCACTCAGAAGAGGGT